GTGCGCGCCGGCCCCGTGGGGCCCGCCAGGCAGGGCGCGCCCGCTGCTGCTGTGGGAACCAGGGGACTGGAGCAGCATCTCCCCCCGCGTCTTGTTTTGTGGTGGGGGAGCTGCCGCTGCTCGGTGGTGCGGGAGGACAATGCGAGCCGGTGCATGGGCTGCACAAAGGGGCCCTGGCTGGCGCTGTGCGGCGGAGCGGTACGCTTAGCGGGAGGGAGGGGGTGCGTGTCACATTGTGCAAAGGAGCAGCCCTGTGGGGAGCTCGGGGTGCGGTGCATTGTGTGTTGTCGCGGGGCCTCGGCATGGCTGCAAAGCAGAGTCATCTCCCTAAGGAGGCGGGCTGCTGCTGGAGAGCTGGCCCCTGGGCGAAGGGCCCCGGATTCAGGGCTCCCCAACGCTTTGGTGTCTGAAGAGGGCTGTGTTTGTCCCCCTCTCCCTCACCGTCACACTCATGCCAGGAGCGGGCCCCTGTCTCTCTTAGTCCCTAGGGTGGTTTTGGCTCTTGCTCCAGGGAACATTTCTATACCTCCGGGCCTCTTTTTGCCCCTTCAGGCTCTCTCTTCTTTGTCCCATGAAAGCCTGAGCGCGTTGCTGAGTGGTGGGGTTTGGCCAGCATAAGGGGGGAGATGCAAAGGCGGGGTCAGTCAAGTTTCAGACAAAGGCGGCGAGTGTCTGTCTCTCCCTGGGGTTGTTAATGATGTGAGGTCTGTGGAGCACCCTTGTATCAGGGATCAGATTCGGAAAACATAAGTACCAAGTTCTTCCCACAACCCAAGTGCTGCCCATGCATGAAGTTAAAAGTCAGATGCCACTCCTAGTTTAGAGTGAGCAGGTTTTCATAATATGGGGTGCCTCTGCTTTCTTGTTTGGATCAGTCAAATAGTTACCAATGCTGATATTTAAATTGTCATTAGGCTTTGGTGCTAACATCCCTGGAAATGCATTGAGCCAATTCACATCTCTCTTCAAGCTGTTGGGAGTTTGTCTCTCAAAGGCAGAGATCACAGAATTGGTTCACATGCTGAAGGCTGTCTTTGCGGCCCTAAGGTCTAGAGACTTCCTATTTCTTTAAAAATGAGAGCCCAGATTCTAAAGCATAAGCTACATCTACCAGAGGAATTAGCTCACAGTGCACCCATGACCTAGTGCCATTTGACTCCTGCCTTTCATCTAGATTGAATACAAAATGATGTATTTAATAAACAATATATGGAGGAGAGTAGTGCTAATGCTGAGATGTGGTGTGTTTTGAAGTACAATGGTGGCCACTGAGAATTCAATCTTTGCCAATCAGCACTATATTTATTTCCCGTTCCGAGTATAGGAGGCAAATGCTTGTATCACTCAAGACGCCACTGTGCAGTAACTGTTGGCTAATGCTGTTTTTTAAATAACAACTGTTGTACTGCAAAAACTCATTGTATGTGGAAGCCATAAATGGAGGGCATTCCTAGTTGAGGCACAAAGAAGATTTACAGGTTAGGGAAATTCTCTTACAGGAAAGTGAGATAACATTACTCACTGATGTTATATCCATGTATCATTAATGACTGCTTAAAAAGGAGCTTGGTGAATTAGCTGAGATTAAAAAAGAAGCATGCTCGAACTTCAGCCCTACAAGCAAATTGAATCTGAGAAGGGCCTGAAACTGTTCGAATAAGTATGTCAGCTTCCCATTTGTTCCCCATTTCCTCTCTCTCCTCTTTTCTGATTCTCTCAGTCTGGACTCATTGACTTATATTGTTCCTTATCTTTCCTTTTCCACCACTGACCCCTGTCTTTGTCCACTGAACTGCTAACAGATTTCTCCATGCAAGCTGGCTGTGATTTCCTTAGCAGAGTGGCAGCAGGTGAATGATACTTGGTTAGGGCCTGGGCTAAATGCTGTGTTAAAAATCTCCAAGACAGTGCTTCAGAGGTAGCTCTGGCTCAGGCGTGACTCAAAGTGTGTGAGATTTGATCACACCAGCCAGATAGATCCAGAAAAAGGCTGGAATGTCCTTAAATATAAGGAGGTTCAAAAGAGGAGGTCAAGGTATTCTCTCCAGAGAGCTTGCATGCAGCACAAAGCATTCTGCTCCATGCCACACAGCACTAGAGCTTGAGTAGACAATGTCACACTAGCATTTCCCTAGTGGATCTGGACCCTCAAGGTAAATTGCACGTTTGGCAGCTTAATGTGAAGTAGCCCTTCTCCAAAAGTTTTGATATTCATTTATCACTCTGGCTTAAATGAAAATGGATGCCTGAAGGGTGCTACATTGCTTTGTTCCCCCATTTTGCATGCCATCCAACCCAGGGCCGGTGCAAGGAAGTTTCGTGCCCAAGGTGGAAACTTCCACCTTGCGCTGCCCCCCCCAGCCCTGCAGCAGCTCCCCTCCCTCTGCTCTGAGGTGCCCCCCTGCGGCAGCTCCCTCCCTCTGCTCTGAGGTGCCCCCCCCCCACGGCAGTTCCCCTCCTGGGGAGCCATGTGGCAGTTCCCCACCCTAGCTCACCTCTGCTCCGCCTCCTCTATGAGCACACCGCCCCCACTCTAATTCTCCTCCCCTCCCAGGCTTGC